TTGAGAGAGTCCTCCAGATCATGGAGAAAATGACTATGACCATAAGCGTTTGATTTTTGAATACAATTCAATCTAGCAAGTAACCTTTTCTTTTTTTTTTGAATATATCTCCAAAAGTGTCATTTTTCCAAATTGGGATCTTATCTTTAAAGGTGTTTGAAGCAGTTATAAAATCGTTATCGTGCCAACAATTATTAACTATAGTACTAAACCCAGGGTGACTACACCAAAAGGAGTTCAGTCTAAACGGCCTAGGATTTAGATTGTTAACTTTTGGAATCAATTCTACGAGAATAGGATTATGGTCCAGATAAGTTTTTGGGAGATGAATAACAGAGGCTTTAGGAAATAGATTTATCCAGGAATCATTCGAAAATATTTTGTCAAAGTCTTTCCATAATAAGATCGGACCTATATTTCCTGTTGTTAGACCAAGTATATTTGCACCCTTTAAACCCTAAATTTATTAGATTACAGTAATTTATTTTGGACCATAGTTTAGCAACTCGTCTTCTGTTTATGGGGTTACCTCCCATTTTTTCGTTAGCATTCCATATATCGTTAAAGTCACCTCCTAAGAGCCATGCTCCTTTATAGTTATAAAAAATATTTATAATATTATCCCACATTTGATTTCTAGAAGCTATTTTAGTACTAGCATAGATAGAGGAAAAGAGCCAGGGGTGGCGAATATGGGGTACCTCAATCAAAGCATGAATCTCATTGTTCCTCCTCACGAAGTTATTGACATTAATTAGACTCGTATCCCATAGCACAGCCATACCACCAGACTGCCCCTCCGTTGGAACCTCAATCATATCCGTGAAACCAAACTCGTTCATAAGGCAGCCATGACTAATTAGTCTGGTTTCCAATAGAGTAACCATGCAGGGATGATGAGTATTGATCATATCATGAAAATTTCTCCTAAAGTCCTCATTGTTTCCTCCCATAATATTCCAGATTATAATGTTTTTAGCTTGATTCATTGATTGATTCTGAGGTTGTTGGTTGGGACCAGGCACTTGACCTCCTAGGGGAAAGATTGGGTTCCTCCTTAGACTGGGAACTAGAATCATTGCTAATTTTCCCACTGTTGGATCTTGAGGTGGACGAATGTCCATTGTGCACTTGAAGAGTGAAATTGGGCAAGCTAGAATATGCCTCTTCTCCCGCATCTCCACAAATAGAAATATTTTGACTTCGTTTAGGCCTGAGGATTCCACCATTGATTCCCCTATTAGATTGATGGGATCTTTCTCTCCTTCCTCCATTGGATTTCCCATCTCCTGAGGGATCGGGGCCTGAGGTTCCTGCTGGCCCATATTTCCTAGGTTTACTGGATCGTGGGCTTGCATGGGATCCTGGTCCCAAGGCATCAGAATAGGGTTGAATGCAGTTAACTCCTGGGGAGGGAAGAAGGGAAGATCCAACCCCATATTCTGAGGAAGGTATGGATTTTGGTGGTATGTGGGGGGAAGATTCCATTGAGCTTGCCTTGCTTGGACTAAATTGTTGTTCATCCCTGGAGCTAGGGGTTATAGTATATTGTTGACCCAAATGTGATTCATATAATTGTTCATAATTAGGTGTAACCCCTCGGAGATTAGCTGGGCTAGGAATTGGGGATTTTGGACTAGTATTATGGTCTCCTAACCATTGATAGTGAGTTGGAGAGAAAAGGCTCTCCCCATCAGACCCAACTCTATCCATGAAGTTGGATGATGGTCTTGGGGTAATGAGGGCTGGGCATAGGTCACTGGAAGGTTTGGGTGTTGTGGAGGAAAAGGAGGGAGGTTGTCCATCGTTAGGGGTCGATGGTTTCTTAAGATTTGGATCAATCTGAACCTTCTCCGAGGATTGAGTGGGATTCTTGGCATTTTGGGAGGGTTCGGGGTATAGTTTTAATGTAGTAGGGGTCGGAGAAGATGGAATTATGGTACATATTTGCATGCTTTCTGAGAGGGTTAGTGTGCATGGATTAATAGTAGATTTTGCATGGGATTCAGTTGCCACATGGCATTCCATCGGTGACATTTGTAAGGAGCTTTGTTCCTGAGAAACCGTGTATGCCTTAGCATGCAACTTTAAGTTGTTAATCGGTTGGCTGTTCATATTAATTGGTGTTTTAGGGTCATTATTAGGAATTATGAGATAGTTGTTATTAGGATTAGTGATAATATCTTTTTGGACGTTAGTGATTAAGGCTTTGTCGTCTAGTGGGTCTAGAGGTGCATGAACCGAGTTAGTTTGATGTAGGTGGTTCATGCATGCGTGATTAATGGTATTGTGGAAATTGTTGTAAGTGGTTTTTTCAAAAACCATTTGCTGACTATCTAAATGGATGTTAGAGAAGCGGTTTTGAGTTTCTATGTGATTTTCAACACTGTAGTTCATAGGAGAATTAACGGGAGCAGTACTAGTAGGGGGAGACACTGTTTTTTCCCTTGTTTGAATCCTTTGGGATGTATTTTAATTTTTGAGTGTCAATGTACTTACCTGTGGCCGCGTTAAGCAATTTTACATCTATACTTGGACTTGGGCTTTTGCTACCTGATTGTTGACCTGTTGGTGCCAGCCTTCTAATTTGGTTTTTGTTTCTTGTGAATGGCACTGTATGCCAGTCATCTTCCTGCGCTGGTTTCATGCTACTGATCTTGTCATATGGAGGATCTATCTGAGTGTTAATCGGTTGGATAACACTGTCAATTTTGTGGGGGCAAACCTTTGTTGCATGGCCCAATCTGCCACATTGTTTGCATAGATGTTGATCTGCCTCGTAGTGGATTTGTTGTTTATGTGATTCAATGTAAATAAACTTAACAACTAGTTCTTCCATTGGAAGTTCTATGCATAATATGGCATACCTCCTCCGTAGAGAAGATGATGTGCATGCATTTACTTTTAATAGATTTTTGAAGTATTAGACCGTCGTATCAGTACGGAGCTGAGGAAGTCGTATCCATACTGCTGCGAAATTTTGTACTGCCTCTATGGCAACAAAGTTTGGTTGTCACCTTTGGATTGATAAGAAATTACCAAAGATGAAGTATGCACCTTTTTCAAGAATCTGGTTCATGCTTTCTTCTTTTTGTAATTTTACTGTAAAGTAATTATTACCAAGGTCAATTAGAGGAAAATTTTCGTTTATTTTTCATAGGTCATGGATTTTTCGTTTCAGTAATTGATGAAGAATTCTTTTTCCTTGAAGTAATGGGTTTTTTACTATTGTCGTTCTTGGATGGGGAGTATGTGTGACAGTCTTCAATGTCCATATCAGAGCGTAGGGTAGGGGGTGGGGAAGAGTCTGTAGTAATAGTAATGACATTGTCTTGTTAAGAGAGTATCCTTGAAAGAAGGGGGGGGGGGGGGGGGGGGGTAGAATTGAAGAAACTTTTGGGATATCCAAACCATATTCCTGACTCTTATGGCAGGAATTAGTAGTATCAGGCGGTTTTGGGGGAATTTGGAGATGAGCTTGATCAATATTCATGGTAGCCATTGGTGAGTTAATGATGAGAAGTTACCACACAATCTTTATGTAATCTTTTTTTTCCTTTCTGGATTGCATATAGGACACCAGTATTAATATAAAAGATCGACACTGAATAATATTGCCTTCTCTTTTTAAGTTTTATCACGATAGTTTATGAAGTCGGGTTTCATGTACTGATAGCACTTTTGAAAATTCATCATTGCTTATGAAACCGATACTTTCTAAGTTCTTTATTTTTGTTATATACAGCTTCCATCTTCCACCTTGCCTCTAGCCTTTGCATTCTATCTTCAAATGGAAGTATCCACTTTGTAGTTCACTTGTTAAATAACACCAGCACCAACAGTATACCGAACGAGTAGAGGCAGACCCAAAATTTAAAGGTGTCGGGGGTATATGAGCGGACTGCTCCACCAGTGCCGTGACTTTTGATATTAAGAATTCCAGGTAAAATACATAAACCTTTTTAACGTATATGCACATATATATTTAGAATTTTTGCCGAGGTAAACGGTGTTGTCTGATGACCCCTCTTCTCACTTATAGGTCCTCCTCTGTTGACACGTGCAATTCCAAAAGGTTCTCGACTCTTTAAAGCTCATTCTTCTCCAATTGCAACATTATATTGCCCTAGAGTTTCTGCTTAAAGTTAGGCAGAATTGGGTCATACGCACATGGGATTAAAAGGATTTTGCAGGTTAATTACAAATTGTAGGTACGAGGGTAAGTTGCGCAAGTTTGACTTAATATAATGGATAGGTATAGTGGTCTACCCAAAAGCCTATGTTTAGCTTGAAAAACAAGGGGGAGAAAAAGTTGCCCCTATTAATCAGAGGCGGAGTAGGATTTGAACCTTATGGGTTCGAATAATCCTTTTAAGTTATTGGGTTCTAAATTAATAATTTGTACATATTCATTGGATTTCTTAATACAAATACAGAATTTGAACAAAAGCTACTGGGTTCGGCCGAACTCACAAACAACACTGTGGCTCCACCCTTGCTACTAACTATGGTATTTGTCAAAACCCTCAAGCCACTAAACTTCTCTGTCGTTCTTAACCTCTTACGTGTATATTAACATGACTGTCATAATGTCAAAAGTCGTATATTCAGTTATTCACCACCCAACGGAATTGTGAATTAGTCTAGAGAAATGCATATGTTTACCTGTTTTAAAAAATAATAGTTGATAAAATATACTCTCTCCGTTTCATATTAAATGAGGTACTTTCCTTTTTAGTTTGTTACAAAATAAATGACACATTTCTAAATATATTAGATTAAAGTCAAATAAGCCAAAAATAGACTAAGCTGAAATAATTTCTCTAACACCTATTGCAATGTTCTTTTGCACAAAACTTAACTTCTAAGTTGATAATAACTAGTAATAATATTAAAATAATATCACTTTAATATGATCATCTATCAATTACTAATTTAAATAATAAAAAAGTAATTTAATTAACTTACGAAACTCCCAAAAGGTACACGAATAACACAAGTAAAAAGCATAGATAACCCTTCTTTCATATAGTAAGTCGACACATGCTACCTCTGCTGGAGGCATAACTAAAACACTAGATTTACTACTATATTATAGTATGATTTTGGTAAAACCATACATTACACCACTTTAAACAGCAATTAGACTTGTACTGAGGTTAAAATTAAGCATACTAATAATATTTTGCCAAAATTAGCTTAGCATCACTAGCTTATCTTTTTAATGGTTAATCTTTTTTCCTTTTCTCTTCTTAGTAAGAGGAAGAGTTGGGATGCTTTGTTCAAACTTGAAAAAGTTTTCAGGATCCACCTTAGTCTTGATTTCCACCAGCCTATTAAAATTGTTGTTGAAATACTTATTCCCCCACACAGTGGCTTGTACAAAGCTGGAATTTGAATTCCCATTCTTGTTCATTCCTAAATCAAGATCCCTGTAATTCACATAAGCTTCTCTTGGGAACATAGAAGCATAAGAAGTCATGTAACTGTATAGCTTTCTGATCCAATCAACGTGTTTCGTAGCCAATTCTTGATCAGGTTCAGTCCAGAGAGTTAAGTACTGAATCTTGAAAATGACTCCTTTTCTGTGTGGGAAAGGAGTTTCTGATTCTGATATATTAGCCATCATTCCTCCATATGGATTCCATATCATTAGTGGTGAATCTTCTTCTAATAGCCTTTTCCATATACCATCAAGTCCTGTTTCAGGAATTGGCTCTTTTATAAAGTCTGATTTGGCTTTGAAATAATTCTTGAATGTTGGCTTCCCCTGGAGAAGTATTTCTGGTGGGGTTTTTGTTGGGAAACCAGCAATGTACAAGATTGACTCAATCCAACTCATTTCTGTACAATCTTTTTGTGTCAATCCCAATTCAGGGAAACTTTCATTCATTATTTGTAAAAGCCTGTCAACATTTCCAAGAAACAATGAGTTATAAGCTGTTTGAACTGTCCTTTCTCCCTTTTTATCTTTTTTGTCCACCACATTTATGACTACTCTCATGAATAGATCATCGTCAATTTTATCAGCAACTTGTTGCCACTTGTATAAAATCTTCGTCGCGCCGTCTTCCAATGTTTTCGGGACAGTGAAAACAGTGACAACCGATGGAACAGTAACTAATTTTAATTTCCAGGACAGTATGATCCCGAAACTTGCTCCTCCACCACCTCGAATCGCCCAAAACAAGTCTTCCCCCATCGATAGCCTATCGAGTATAGTGCCATTCGCATTGACAATACGAGCATCGATCACATTGTCAGCCCCAAGCCCGAATTTTCTCATCATGGAACCATATGCCCCACCTGTTATGTGACCACCAATTCCTAAACTGGTACAAAGTCCAGCTGGAAATCCATGAGTTTTGCTTTTCTCTGAAATTCTATAATAAACTTCACCAACAGTAGCACCAGCTTGAGCCCAAGCTGAATTTTCCTCTATGTTCACGTCGATCTCTCGTAGTTTGGAGAGATCGACGATAACAAAAGGAGAGTCCATTACTGAAATGTACGAGAGACCTTCATAATCATGGCCTCCACTTCTAACCCTGAGCTGAAGATTGAGTTGTTTTGCACAAATGACTGCTGCTTGAACATGGGATTCTGCCATTGGTGTGAAAATGAGTACAGGTTTGGGAACTGTTGGCATCAAACACCTGAGATTTTGAGCTGTGGAATTCAAGACTGTGTTGAATGAATCAGTGTTTGGGGTGAAGAAAGCTTTGGAAAAAGGATCAGAGAAATCAGAATTCTTGCAAATACATTGGTAGAACTTTTCAGGGGTTGTATCAGAAAGAGCAAAACAAGAACTTGAAAATAATAAGACTAAGAAAAATGAGACCATAATAGAGTTTAAGGATGCCATAATTGAGAATCTTTATTTTTTCTTGAACTGTGTTTTTGGATTGTTGAGTAAAGCATTAGGGGGTGATGGTGTTTATATACCGATGAAGTTGGGGCTCGTTTGGCACGAGGGATAATGGATACTTAATCCCGTGATTAAATTTGAGATGAGTTTATCCCATGTTTGGTTGAGATAAAATCGTGGTATAACTAATCTTGGGATTAGTTATCCGGAATTGTAATTTTTTTTATCGCTATGGAAGGGTGGGATAACTAATCTCGGAATAATTAGTGATATGATAACTTATTTCCCAACCAAACTTAAGGTCTAATGCTGACTCTATGTGACATAATGCGCATGTCAGGTTTTATAGATTTGATTACTGGTTTCAATGTGCAATTATTAGGAAAAAGATAATTAATGAATAATTCCTCAAAAAGTAGTGTGGAGACATTTGGAATTTTGATTGTGGCAAAGTCATAGGAGCTTTAGGAGACAAAGTAAAAGAAAGAACAAATTTTGGAGTGAAAGAAAATTTATGCTTTCTTCCGTCAATCTCTCTTTAGTACTCTTTTCATGTTGCATTGAATTCTTTCCCTCAACTTTTTCCCGAAAATAAAATTCTCATTTTGGTTCAGAGTAATTTTAATTTTTATAAAGTATATAACTGCACTAACTTTTTCTTGAAGATATCTAAAACAAACAAAAAAATCATTTATACTTGGTAAACTTTTTCCCTTCGACTAGTGTCCACATACAAAGTAATGACTGGGATGTCAAGCTACAAGTAACAGTGATGTGACTGAAGCAATATTGGTGACATTAAAATGAAAAGACGGCACTAACAAATTGTGAATAGGATGCTGTTAAAAGGCTTAATCTAATAGAGCCAAGATAACTCATAAATGCAACTAGTTGTAAACTCAAATGGAGGTTCCATCTTTTCAAATCACAGTGATGTTGAATTAACTTGTAATTTGATGCCAAATAATGCTATGGATTTCCCGGGACTTAACTTGAGGGTACAATTTTGTTGGGAGTCAGAATTGTAATAAATCTATTAGGAAGAGGTTTGGTGGATGTTACTAAGTGAGAAAGAATGAGGTTAGAAAGGAGACTCACCTTGATCCAACATTTACTTCCAAATTCTAAGAACGCGCTCAAACCCTCAATTCGGAGCCGAACGTTCCAAAACTATTCAAACGGGGTAAGAACTAGTCAATACAAGCTCAAGAGTTCATATTCTAACATTAAAGTAATTTCCTAACCCTAAATACAAATTTCCTAAAATTCATCTCCGGTCCCACGTGCTCGGATTCCGGAAATTCTCGAGAGAAGTTGTCAACCATAACCTAGGGATCAAGAATATATGATTTTTTACTTCATTCCATAACAAATTTCGTGGTGAAATCTTGTTTTTATCAAAAATCTAGGTTTTACTCTAAACCCATAATTTCCACTAATTTACATGTTGTAATCTACCCATAAACTATGTACTAAACTCAGATTAGGTAGAAATTACTTACCTCACAAAGCTAGGTTGAAATCTCCCCTTTTGTAGCTCCCAAATAGCCCAAGAATGTAATAAATGACCCCAAATATGCCTAAGTCCCGATTTTAAACTCACTGCCCAGCTGCCCCCTTCATCGCGAACGCGACAGGGACCTCGCGTTCGCGAAGGCCATTGGCTCAGGTCCTTCATCGTGAACGCGACCATTGACTCGCGAACGCGAAGGCTAGCTTGGCTAAACCTACGCGAACCGAGAGTTACTCCGCGAACGCGAAGAACAAAGCTGGACCAGCCCAGCTACTCTACTCTACGTGAACGCGAGTCGCCTCACGCAAACGCGAAGGTCACTGACCCAGACCTTCGCGAACACAGAATAGCTATCGCGAACGCGAAGTGCATTCCCCCTCCCAGCCCAACTCCTTCTACGCGAACGCGATGGTCTCTTCGCGTTTGCGAAGAAGGAAACCAGAACTGGGCAAAATCTGGTTTCATGCAATTAGCTCCAAGGGGTCCGAAATTCACCCGAGCCACTCGGGACCCCGTCCAAAGGCACTAACAGGTCTGTAATCATAATACGAACTTGCTCAAATTCTCGAAACGCGAAAAACAACAGCAAAACCAAGAATCATACCCCAAAACCCAAAATGAATTAAACTTTGAACTTCAAGTTCTTCAAATTCGCCGAATGCGTCGAATCATACTTAGACTACTCGAAATGGCACCAAATTTTGCGTGCAAGTCTTAAATGATACTACAAAACTATTTCTGGTATCGGAATTCCGTTCAGACCTCGATATCACAAAACCCGCTCCAAACCAAATTTCAAGAACTTCAAAATCCTTGAAGAACCAACTTTCACTATTACGGGCCAAAACACTCCCAGATCATCCAAAATCCGATCCGGACATACGCCCAGGTCCGAATTCATCATACGAACCTGTTGGAACCTTCAAATCCCGATTCCGAGGTTGTTTACTCAAAATGTTGACCGAAGTCAAACTTGGCCTTTTAAGCAAACCTTAAGGAACCAAGTGTTCCGATTTCAATCCAAACTCTTCCAAATCCCGAACCAACCATCCCCGCAAGTCATAAATTAGTAAAAGCAAGTACGGGAAGTCTTATTTAAGGGAACGGGGTTCTAGAAAGCAAAACGATCAGTCGGGTCGTTACACCATGATCCTCAATCATTGCCACCACCATTATTGACCATCACCACCTACCATCCCACCACTTCGACCACCATCATTCTCACCCACAATCAACACTCATCCACCTCAACTACCACAACTAACCACCCCATCACCATCAACAACCACAGTCGGCACCTCCCGTCATTATAACCTACCACCACCCACCCACCACCTTCCTCAATCACAATTACTACCAACACCCGCCATTATTAACTATCACAATCCACTACCATCATCCTCAATCATAATCGCCACCACTACCAATCACTACTAGCTACTAGCATGAACCACCATCGACAACCAAAACTACTACCAACCATCGCTTAGTCGGCATTCACCCTTCAGCCATCACCACCAACAACTATCATATTTTACAAGACTGTATATTTTACTGATAGAATATTAGATTAGTTAGTATTTCATTTGAATATGTTTATTAATTTTAAAATAAAAATAAATTTAATACATTCGGATGTTAAAAATCAAACAGTCTTATTTTTAGTATTCAGATCTTAATACACATCTTAATATATTCAGATGTGTCTTCAGATTCAGATGTCTTAATCTTAATACACATCTTGATATTCAAATGTGTATTCAGACGTTTTAATCTTAAAAAAAAACAAATGAGGCCTAGTCACATTAACTATTTTCGTCTAGAATTTAGTATTTCCTTAATGGGTGTGACCAAAGCAAATTTGGCACTTATTATGGACCTGAGGGAGTATCATTTATCTCTATAACATTATAACGTTGAGCAAAAATTATTTTTACAACATTACAAGTTGACAAACTTCATGAACAAAGACAATCAGTCTTTATAAGGTTGAGCTTGTCGACGCCTAATGGGTGCTCAGTAGTCAGTAGGGGTAGTAACTTATGTAAAAAGACAAAGGACGACTTTTACGTGAATATAGGTTTAACTAATTTCTTAAACGCATTTCTCATTGAAATTGTGAAGGATTATTAATTAAAAGGAAAAAAAGATTACAACCAATTATTTGCTCTTTTCGAGGGACAATTTCTAGTTTACTCGCTAAAGTTTGACTTTAGTAGTGGACTACATTAACTTTTTCTGAATTTCAATTGTTTTTAATTATCAAAACATTTTCCTAATTAATTAACCTAAACTCAATCCTAGTCTCATCGAGCGAAGGGAAATGAAGAAGTTGCAAAGAGAATTTATCCTTAGTAAGACGAAATAAGTTCTCAATATAACAAGAGCGTGGATGGGAGAAAACTGTGTCTATCTTATTAAATTATGTTTATAAATATTAAGATAATTAAATCATTAATCCAATTGACAAGTGTTGTGACTGAACGTGATTTAAGCTATGTGATTTTATGATCAAAGAAAAAAGAAATCGCTCACTGACTTGACTCAAGATTGAGGTGTACATGGATCGGATTGGTTCGATTTTTACCAAAACCAAACCAAGCCAACTATGAGCCCGTTTGGATGGGCTTGTTGTAAGTGACTTTTAAGCTAAAAGTCATAAGTTGATAATTCTAGCTTTTGACTTTTGGCTTATTTTTCCTTTTTTATTTTATCCAAACACTATAAAATAGATTAAAAGCACTTAAAATAAGCCAATCCAAACGGGCTCTATATCAGTTTGGATTGGTTCTGTTTTGACGGGTTTTTCGGATTTTTTGTTACTTAAATATTATTTTAATCTTACTTTGTTAAATTTTTTATAAGTAAATATATGTTTAATAAAAATATAATAAATTGACAAACATATTATCTATTAAAATATTCTTATGGGACAATTTTCTTAGTAACACATAATAGCTATTTCTTTAGTCGTCTGACAATAATATTTTGATGATGTACCCTTTCAAGGTTAACCGGATTTAGTAATTAAACATAAAAAACAATATGATACCTAAATAATAATAATCACCTCACATTCGAAAAGATATAAGAATTTAATAGATCAAAAGTCATATGATATGAATTTAGTAATTAACATATGATATGAATATGGAAAAACAAAGAGATTGACGCATTTCAGTAACACTTGATGAGAAAGTGAACGTACAACCTATTATTTAAGGTTAATAAATATGGAGCACTTCATATACAATTAAATATTATATCCCGCAAGAGAATCCCAAATATTTCTTGATATTTTTAAAAGAAAATTCAATATAAAATCTTAAAAGTATATACAAAAATTATATATTTATATGTCGGTTTGGTTCGGGTTTTTTTACTCAATACCAAACCAAGTTGTATTTTTTAATCAGTTTGGTTTGACTTTTCGGTTTGGTGCGGTTTTCCGGTTCGATTTGTATACCCCTGCATCAAGACCAAGTGAAAAATAATCATAAGCTTGTTAAT